ACATTTAAGTGGAATATTCTTGCCATACAGTCACATGTACTTTATGATTTTTTTTACACTCTGCACTGTCTTGGCATTGAGAAAAATTCTCCTGAAGATCATTTTTTTTCCATTAACTATATTAGAAAGATTTTACTATCAATATGTTTGGTATATAATGAAATACTACACATTTTATTTGTCTCCCTTAAATGTTATAGCAACATTTTACATAAAATAGCTGAAGAAATGTCATATATTCAGAATCAGACATACTTATAAATCCCAGGGGAAAATTTGGTTGTTACAGTTGCTCTTAACACAGTAAAGCAGTAGGATATATAGATTTAAACTTAAAAAATATAAAAATAATATATAATAGAAATAACAGAATCAGAATTTGATAGTTTATATACTATTTTAATTTTACGTGTTATTTTAGGCATAACACATTAGTAACTTGTAAATCATACTTTTAATGTAGAGTGCTATAACGATCATATTTAGGGGTTTCCTACTTGCAGTACTTTATTTGTCCGTAGGCGAAGCTGATGTAGCGTTTTAACCAGAGCCCATACATATGAAGAAGAAGTAGGACGTGACGTATAAAGAAAAAAACATCTGATTTCAAAATAAAAATACTTGCGCCCTTACCATTAAACAAGTTGGTTTTCCATTCTACTTATTTGTCTCTTGTCAAAGTCGTAAGAGGATTTTTTTTTTTTGCCTGCTGTGTGATTCTCTTGCGTGTGTGCGTATGTGCTTTGAAATAACTGACGAGATCTAAAATCACTCAATATTTCTAATCTTTTGTTTATGATCGGTTATCATATTGGCATTTGGGTCAAAAAGAGTTGAGTAGGCTCTGGGAAACTGTTGTATTTTGTAACATTATTCAGCGCAACTTATCTTGTCTCATTTATCTCAGAATATTTCTCAAAATACAATACCACAAGTATAGTAAGTTATTGGTTTTATTTTGAAAATGTAAGACCGGAAGTTATTTATTAGCCTTGCAAAACAGTGGTCCAAAGAAGGAAGCTGTAGTAAAAGGATACTGCAGAAAGAAAACGTAAGCTATTAACCATTTTAATTTAAAACCACAGTTATGACGGACAACTAATGATTACTGCGCTTAAATAGTCATTCATGACTCTTTTATTTAAGGTAGCGTTGTTTCTGTGTGAGTGTCCAGAGCAGCCAGTTCATAGGTGTGCTACCTCAGCTAGCTTAGGGAAGTGTCTTGATGTGACAGTTTAACTTAACGTACACTATTTCTCTTTGTAGGCCTTAAAATTGATGAAATTAAAGGTCTCTTATTTATCTCCTAATTGAAATAGTCATATTTTACCAACGAAGAACAATAACAGGAGCCACAGTGAGTGTTTATCTTAGTAAACACAATAGCAGGTGTTGTTTTGCATATTGGTTTCATTTAGTTTGAAATGTTGTTTCTCTTATTTTTTTCTTCTTCCAGTTAATGAGCAGTGACAGATTTTCCATCCTGCACTCACCAGATGTTTAAAGAAGTATCCATTAATTCATTCAGACAACAAAAGCTTTGTTGGACTACACAACAACTTGTGTTTGCAAGTGTTCATCCATTGGCAATTTAATGAATCATAACCTAGGTAGGCAATAGACATAAGTATTTATGTGTATGTAAGTATCTTCAATGACCCAGCTGGACGAGCTACACATTGCTTGACACAAGGTGTTAAACTACTGTAGCTATCCTGGGGAGATAATCTGGTTAACTTCAGCTACCTTAAAAAAAAAAAGTTGAAATAGAATAGATGTTTATTGCCATTTGCACAGGTACAGGTACAGGACAGTACAGGTACATTGGAATTCTTGTGCGTTTCTCCCTGGGTCAGCTTCTGCAAGTTAAAATTATGTATAAAATAAAATAACAATGTAAGAAAATAAGTTGTAGTAACAGCTAAGTGATTTAAAATAAACTGTACAGAAGTTACACACTGTATTAAAGCAAAGATATAATACAAAGAAAAATAACAAAGGGGAACGCTGTACAATGAAATGAAAATATAAATATGTTTTCTTATCGCACTTATTATCTCTTATTGCACCTGAGGTTATTGCACACATATTTTTCATTTTTATATAATTGCACTGTTTTTTGTTTTCAAGGTTATTATTACACACTGTGAGGTGGTCAGCTGTCCATTTAGTCTGTGAGGTGGTCAGGGGGTGAGGTACTTCCTTCCCATCTTAATGTCCCGTGCTACAAGTCTCGCAGACAGCAGGGAAAAAAGCTGTTGTGGTAGCGGCCCTTGTGGGTGGAGATGCTCTCTGGCCTGTGATGTCGCAGGTTATAGCCCGAGTTCTTCCACCCGAACAGAGCGCGAGCTGGGGGTGCTGCTTGTCCTTGAGGATGCTCTGTGCTTTCCCCCTGCAGCGCTGTGTGTACAGTGTGTCCATGGAGGGGAGGTTGGAGCCAGTGATTCTCTCTGCAGTCTTTATGACCCGTTGACACGCGATTTCCTCTCAGACAGTGCGGTGTTTCCGAACCACACCGTGACTCCACCGGTGAGGATGCTTTCACCGAGTCGTCTGTAGGCCTGGGTGAGGGGCTGACGTTTAAGTCCAGTCTTCTTCAGCATGCCTGATGAAGTAGAGCCGCTGCTGTGCTTTCTTCACTGTTTTAGCAGTGTTTTGGGCCCAGCTCAGGTTTTCCGCGATGTGAAGACCAAGGAACTTGTAGATGTCAGCCCGCTCCACCACAGTCCCCTTGATGGTGAGAGGCTGCAGCTGTTCAAAACTAAGTCGTTGTCCTCTCCATAGACAGTGACTTTGTGGACCAGCTCCCTGTATGAGGACTCATCCCTCCCTCTGATGAGGCCAAGGATGGTTGTGTCGTCTGCATATTTAATGCTGTTATTGTCCTGGGGGGAGACGTAGTCATATGTGTACAATGAGAACAGTTTTGGGCTGAGGCAGCAGCCCTGGGGGGGGTTCCTGTGCTGCCTGTGAGCTCAGCAGAGACCTTTGATCCTCACCACCTGTGGTCTGTCTATAAGGAAGTCCAGGATCCAGTTGCAGGTGGGTGTCGGTACTCCAAGGTACTGCCAGCTTCCCAGTCAGCTTCATTGGCCGAAAGGTGTTAAAGGCGGAGCTGTAATCCAAAAAGAGGAGGCGTGCGTATGTGTTGTTAGTGTCCAGATGTTCCAGTGTGGAGTGGAGTGCCAGGGCCACCGCGTCGTCCACCGATCTGTTGGTGCGGCAAGCAAACTGTAGGGGGTCTACAGTGTCTGGAACCACAGAGTTGATGGAGTGTAGGACCAGCTTCTCCAGACACTTCATGGCCACCGGCGTGAGTGCCACTGGCCTGAAGTCATTCATTGTGGTTGTATGTGGTTTCTTAGGGACTGGAACTATGACAGATGATTCAAAGGTGGCGTGGGACGGTTTCCTGCATGAGAGAGGCGTTGAAGATGTCTGTGTACACCTCTGCCAATTGTTCAGCACAGGCTTTTAGGACTCTTGGTGCCACCCCATCAGGGCCTGCAGCCTTGTGGGGGTTCACCTTCTTCAGAGCCCGAAGGACCTGTGTCTGTGTTACTTGTAGTGCGGTCTCCTCTGGGTAATGGGGGGGACTTTGTAGGGGTGTCACTGTTCTGTCTGTCGAATCTGCCATAGAAACTGTTCAGTGTGTCTGGTAGGGTGCAGTCACAAACTTCACCTCTGTTTGTGTTACTTCTGTAGTTGGAGATGGACTGTATTCCCTGCCACATACTCCTCGTGTTGTTGTCCCAAGTTTTTGGGAGTATGTTCTTTTGGCAGCTCTGATGGACTTTTGTAGCTCGTACCGAGCCTGCTTGTACTCCACGGTGTCCCCTGACTGCACACCAGCTCCTGATCTTCGTGCGTATGTCTGCATTGAACCAGGGCTTTTGATTAGGAAACACACGAATGGTCCGGGAGGGAATACAAACAGAGGTGCACCAATCTATTTAGCTGCTTACGGTGTCCGTGTACTCATCAATGTTCGTTGTGGCTTCCTTAAAAATATTTATGTCTGTGGCCTCTAAGCAGCCCTGCAGTTCTGCCAGTGCACTGTCAGTCCACATCTTCACAGTTCTGACTGTGACTGGGTTTGCTTTCAGCTTTGTGGTGTAAGTAGGCCGTGGCAAGACTGCGAGGCGGTCAGACTTTCCGAAGTGAGGTTTGGGGACAGCAGCATAAGCATTTTTGACGTTACTGTAGCAGTGATCCAATGTGTTGTTACCCCTGGTGGGGAAGTTAATGAACTGGTGGAGTTTGATAAAATAATAATAATGTTCCATACACAAATTGTTTGTAGTTTAATTGTTTATCTACTTTTGAAGAGTAAGAAAAGTAATTAATCTTAATTTAATCATAATGCAAATGAATGCAGTTGAACTTCTGCCAAGCTCTTCGAAAATGATGTTCAATCATTACTTTAATTTAGTTTAGTTCACCACTCCTGGTCATTGTTTGTTTGCCAATAGAGCCTCAACATGTGCTCAAAAATGGTTCTTTTAAGTGTGACAATACCTTTTTGAAATCTGTAGCAGTATCTCTGGATTCTTCATTGTTGAATTGCAAAAGGATCTGGGCCCTAAATGTAGAAAAAAGAAATACCACCTACATTTGTGCCATTTGTTTTTCTTACACTTACACAGCCATCAATGGAACCACTATATTTATAGATGAAATGTAGACAGTACAGTAAAGTGTGTTTATTTGCCATAACAGCATAATGCAGCTTTGATCAAGTAAAAAGTGGGATTAGGATGATGTCTAATTAATGTTTTTGTTTCTCTGTTTCATGAAGCCACATGTGAAGATGAGCGTCCCAGATTACATGCAATGTGCTGAGGACCACCAGACAGTACTGGTGGTTGTCCAGCCTGTCGGCATTGTGCCCGAGGACCAGTTCTTCAAGATTTACAAACGCATTTCCAGCGTGAGCCAGGTGAGCATCAGAGACTCGCAGCGCCTCTTGTACATCCGCTACCGCCACCACTACCTGCCTGAAAACAACGAGTGGGGGGACTTCCAGACGCACCGCAAGGTGGTGGGCCTCATCTCCATCACCACTTGCGGCTCGGCCAAGGAATGGCCCCAAACCTCAGAGCGCTTTCATGGCCAGAAGGAGGTGTACAGCTCCACGCTGTACGATTCCCGGTTGCTGGTGTTTGGGCTGAATGGAGAGATTTCAGAGCAGCAGCGCACTGATGTGGCATTCTATCCCAACTTTGAAGACTGCATTGATGTTGAGAAGAGAGTGGAGGACTTTGTGGAGTCCATATTTATTGTCCTGGAGTCCAAGCGGCTAGACAGAGCAACAGACAAGTCAGGTGACAAGATCCCTCTGCTCTGCGTGCCCTTTGAGAAGAAAGATTTTGTGGGTTTGGACACAGATAGTAGGTGAGTTGTTCTGTTTGCTGCACACTTCAAAACTATTTACGTTAGATTCTAGTTAAAGGCACTTGAATGTTTAATGCAGTTTATGAATGTGAATGTGCAAGTGTGTTTGTTTCTGTGTGAAGATGCTTATTACATCTCAGCCTCACCTGCTCAAATTTCCCCCCCCCCCCCCCAACAAATCTGTCTTTTGATTTTTGCTGCTTTCATTTCTGTTTGTCTCCTTGTTTATTTGTCTTTCTTCTTTTTTTTTCTTTCATACTGTCCTGTGAGTTTATTGTTGGGTGTGAAAAGGTGAGATGTTAGTTGATAAGTGTAGTGAACCCTTACCGATCCCATCAGCTGTAGCTCTGACCTCAAAGACACCCCACAGACCCCTGTGCTATATTGCATTTGCTCATGACTCCAAGTCAAACTCGTCACTCCTCTACAGGTTTCAGTTTTGAATTGGTTTAAAAAAAGCTGGATTTAAAAAACGTTGCAGAAATAACCCAAGTAGCTTTTCTAATAAAAAAAAAGAGAGCACAACTTAGTAGTGGAGAGGGCGGATTCAACAGAAACCTGTTACAAAAAGGCATTGGAAAAACAGGGGGTACACAATTTAACTGTGAGTCATAGCTTATATGCGATCTTTAATATTTATTCACTATCATTTTCACCATACAGTACAGAACACTGTTATTGCACATTTAGTTTTTTTCTCATATCGTACAGACCTA